TGGACTGGGCAGCCTTGGGGTCAGTGGACTGGGCAGCCTTGGGGTCAATGGTTCTGGCAACCTTAGAGTCAGGCTTTGTGATCTTGGGGACTGGTCGTTTGGTGCCAACTCTAGGGCCTGGACGCTTGGTGGCCATCTTGTGGCCAGTACTCTGGGCACTGGCCTTGGGGATCTTGGGCCTGAGGAGCTTGGCCTTGGAGGCCTTGGTGCTCAGGGCCTTTTTTATACTTTTTTAAAAAAAAATTTGAGTTCTAAATTCTCTCCCTTCCTGTCTCCCCTCCCCTCTCCTTGAGAAATCAAGCAATTTGATATAGATTATACATGTGAAGTCATACAAAACATATTTCCATATTAGCCATGTTGCAAAAGAAAACATGGACCAAAAAAAAAAAAAGAAAAATAAAGAAAGTCTAAAAAGTATGCCTCAATTTGCTTTCAGACTCCATCACTTTTTCTGGAGGTGGATAGCATTTTTCATCATAAATCTTTTGGAATTGTCTTGTATCTTTGAATTGCTGAGAATAGCCAAGTCATTCATAGCTGATCGTCCTACAATTTTGCTGTTACTGTGAACATTGCTCACCTGGTTCTGCTCACTTCACTTTACATCAGTTCTCGTAAGTCTTTCAGGTTTTTCTGAAATCTGCCTGCTCATCGTGTCTTTCAGCACAATAGTATTCCATTATGTTCATATACCACAACTTGCTCAGCCATTCCCCAATTGATGGGCATCCCCTCAATTTCCAATTCTTTGCCACCACAAGAAGAGCTGCTGTAAATATTTTCATACATGTGGGTTCTTTTTCCTTTCTCTTTGATCTCTTTGGGATACAGACCTAGTAGTAGCAGTATTGCTGGATCAAAGGGTATGCACAGTTTTATAACCATTTGAGCATAGTTCCAAATGGCAATCCAGAATGGTTGCATCAGTTCATAACTCCACCAACAGTGTATTAGTGTCCCAATTTTCCCACATCCCCTCCAACATCTGTCATTTTCCTTTTCTGTCATATTAGCCAATCTAATAAGTGTGAAGTGGTACCTCAGAAGAGTTTTAATTTGTGTTTCTCTGATCAATAGTGATTTAGAACATTTTTTCATATGACTATATAGTTTTGATTTCTTTATCTGAAAACTGCTTGTTCATATTCTTTGACTATCTATCAATTGAGGAACGATTCACATTCTCACAAATTTGACTCAGTTCTCCATATATTTGAGAAATTAGGCCTTCATTGGAGATATTTGCTGTAAAAATGTTTTCCCAGTTTCCTGCTTTCCTTTTAATCTTGAGAGTTCATTTTCTTAAGCCACATTTTAAGTCCTTTTGGCTCTCAAGTTCTGTATTGGAGAAATCTTTCTAGCTCTGACATTCCACGTTCTAAAATCCATTTTGTTTCTTAGTCACTTTGAGATTTCATCAATAAATGGGAAAAGGCCAGATATCTTTGAAGAGAGTAAAGGGCTCACCTCTGGAGCTGTGGAAGAAAAGGCTGTTAAAAGTAGATTAGGGGCAGGTTATGGATGGCCTTGAACACCATATTACAATATTAGGATTGCCCTGGGCATGTAGCCCACTGGGCAGACTTTGGTGGCATGATATTCAGTGGTGGTAAACCACATTGGTATGAATGTGGCAGCTTCCTTCATCACAAAGATTTTATCAGTTTCAAAGTCTCTCCTTAATTTGGGCCTGGATCTTGGGCCAGGCGCATCAAATATCTGTAGCCAATTAATTAAAACTAGATATCATTGTTTTAAAGTATGCTAATTGATACATAACTTTCAATAGCTTGTTCTGCTCCAAAAAAATTTTTTTAAACCACTTCAAATGATCCTTGCAAGGTTATTATATTAATAAGATTTTCCATTTATTGCCGATGTTATTTTGAGTTAATTATATGGGTGCCCAAATGTATCTCTTTTAAATCTCAATTAATGTCCTTTACAATCAATTCATATTTAATTAACATAACTTGATGATTAGATGCAAAAGAAATACTTATTTGACACAAAGTGGTTGCTTCTTTCACTTACATGCCTCTGTAAAAGGTAATTGACATCGATAAGGTACTTGGGACAGTTTTATGGATCTGAGAACATTTCCTCCATCTTATGCATGGTCATTAATTCCTGAGATTCTAGGCACATCAGGCACATCAGGCACAAGGCCAACGGGGTCTAGAGGCATTGTCTCATGGCCGTCTCTCAAAGTAGCCTGGGCTCTAAAAAGTTAATGGGAACAATGAGGAAACAAGGGATGGTAAGAAAGACTGGGGTCTGGGATTTACTGATCAGGCAGCATTTTTACTTGCCCCCTCAGACAAGGACTAATTTTCCCAAAGTTGACACATGTCAGAGGCTGGTGGGAGTCTGAGAACTAAGAGACAGCATAGGGTAATTGGAAGTGTGTCAAAGTTGGAATCAAGACGACATGAGTTCCAATCCCACCTTTGCTACCTGTAGGACCTTGAGTAAGTTACTCGTCTCTCTGGGCCTCAGTTTTCTCCCTACATGACTTCTGAGGTCTACAGCTGTGATCCTATGATCCATTCCTAGGGGCGGAAAAAACCAATTAGGATGCCAATAATCATAATGACAAATCTATATATTGATGGGTCAGTTGAGAATATCTAAGCCATCTGTCATGAGTTTCCTTCTTCCTTACTCTGCACTTCAAAAATCATAGTACCATAAATTTAGAGCTGAAAGAAATTATAGAGATCATGTGTAGACCAACCCCCTCATTTTACAGAGGAAGAAAAAGAGGCTCGACTCCTTTGAGACCACACAGGCAGCAAAGAGAAGAGCAAGAATCTGAACTCAGGTCTTGTGACTGACTCACGAGATGTGACTCAGTGGATGCTCACACTGTCTGGCATCAATATGGTGAGTGCCCAGGAGCAGGAGGAATCAGGCTACCCTGGTGGAAATAGGATAGTTGATCAATGGGGTTAGGCTCATGAGTAGCCATTGCATATAAATATGCCTGGATGAGAGAGGGGGACCCAGGAAGAAGAAGAAGAAAGAGAAGAAGGAGAAGAAGGAGAAGAAGGAGAAGAAGAAGAAGGAGAAGAAGGAGAAGAAGAAGAAGAAGAAGAAGAAGAAGAAGAAGAAGAAGAAGAAGAAGAAGAAGAAGAAGAAGGAGAAGAAGGAGAAGAAGAAGGAGAAGGAGAAGAAAAAGGAGGAGAAGGAGAAGAAGAAGAAGAAGAAGAAGAAGAAGAAGAAGAAGAAGGAGAAGAAGGAGAAGAAGGAGAAGAAGAAGGAGAAGAAGAAGAAGAAGGAGAAGAAGGAGAAAAAGGAGGAGAAGAAGGAGAAGAAGAAGAAGAAGAAGAAGAAGAAGAAGAAGAAGAAGGAGAAGGAGAAGAAGAAGAGGAAGAAGAAGAAGAAGGAGAAGAAGAAGAAGAAGAAGAAGAAGAAGAAGAAGGAGGAGGAGGAGAAGAAGAAGAAGAAGAAGAAGAAGAAGAAGAAGAAGAAGGAGGAGGAGGAGGAGGAGGAGGAGAAGAAGAAGAAGAGGAAGGAGAAAAAGGAGGAGGAGAGGAAGAAGGAGGAGGAGGAGGAGAAAAAAAGTTGCCTGGGGGAATGAGAGGTTAAATGATTACCCAGAGTCACACAGCTACTAGAGGATCATAGACAGGTCTAGAATCAACAAGCATTTATTAAGGCCTACTAAATGCCAGGCCCTGTGTAAGAAACCAGGGTCTCCTGACTAAGGAATAATAAATATGAAAATAAATGTTTCTATAATACTTCATAATTACAAGCACTTTCCACAAATCAACTCATCAGGTTTTTTGACTTGAGAGGCAAAGTGGTGAAAGTGTTGTACTTAGAGGGACCTGGGTTCAGATCCTGCTTCCAACACTTGATAGCTCTGTGTCCCTCAGCAAGTCACAACCTGTCTGAGCCTCAAGTTTCTCACCTGTAAGATAGGGATAGAAATTCCCTACAGTGCCTGCCCCAACAGGGTTATTGTGAGGCTTGCATAAGCTAATGCATGTAAAGCATGTGTCGTATGCATTTGTAAACTTTAAAAGGTTATAGCAGTGGGGGTTCTCGGTATCTTCAGACCGCCCTGTGAGGCAGTGAGCAGAAGCTTTCCTTGCTTTGTGTGTCTGTGATTTGGCCAGTGTGGGTCCTCTCTCCGCTGACAAAGATCGCAGCCCTTCTGTCACATTATAAATTGTCTTTGAGAGTCCTACAGCTAACAGATCCATCTTGCTGTGGTCAGCCCAAGAATGAACTTCTCTGCAGCTGCTCTGGCTTGTCCTGGAATGAGGAACACATTCTATTCATCGCTCCCTACTCAGAGACTTTTCAGCTTGGTGACACCTTCCAGAGTTTGGGATGCTGCTGACTCAACATTGCCTCTCTGTAGTGATGAGGCCCAAAGAGGATTTTAGTAGACAGCAAGCATTGATGGCCCCATTTTAGAGAAGAGGAGACAGATTCATAGGAAGTGAAATTACTTGCCCAAGGTCTCACAGTCAATCAAGAGCAAATTCAGATCTCCTACTTCAGGTTCAGGAATCCTTCCATTTCATCACAACTGTCTCTCGACAAGTATTAAAAGGGGCAAAGGGAGTCCCCAAGTCTACAAAAATGAGGGACAAATTAGAGAAAGGAAATCCTATTCCCCAGAGCAGAATCACATGCAGGATGGGGGAAAGGCCACCATCTGAGATAGAAAGTCATCAGATACACAGCCAAGACTACAGCACCTTTGGAATGCCTCTTATGGAGTACAGAAGCACAGACCTAGAGCTGGATGACCCTGAGGTCATCTAGTCCAACTCTTTCATTTTTAAGAGGGGGAAACTGAGACCCTGGGGTATGAAGGGACTCCTCAGTCAGTCAGTGGCAAAGACGGGATTTAAATCCATTTCTCTGATTCTAAATGTGTCATTCTTTTCAAGGTTCTACACTGTCTTCATGACTTGCAGGTATGTAACATCAATGGAAATATATTCTATTTCAAATGATATGTTTTATGACAAATAAATATTCCTAAGAACATTATAGCCAAAATCCAGAGCTTCTAGGTCAAAGAAAATAATACTGCAAACAGCCAGAAAGAAAGAATTCAAGTATTGTGGAGCCATGGTCAGAAACATACCCAATTTCCCAGCTATAACCATATAGTAGTGGAAATTTTGAAATGCGATACTCAGGAAGACAGAGGATATAGGCTTTCAACCAACAGTAACTTACCCAGCAAAACTGACTGGTCTTGTGAACTCAAGGGTACAGGGTAAGCAAAGACCTGGATACTTGGGAAATCAGGACAGTATTTACATGGGCGGCCATACTTGAGCTGAGCTTTGAAAGAAGGTAGGGGTTCTTAGAGGTGAAAGTGGGGGAAAACATTGCAAGTATGCAGGATGTGTACGAGATAGCGAGGGGAGAGGTATTTTGTACAATAGCATAGAAATGGGACATCTTATATGTCTTATACATAAATATTGTGTGGTTTAGTTTGGTTGGTTGGATTTGAGAGTCTATGAAAGAAAGTAATGTCAGAAAAAGTAGGTTTTTTCACTTTGGTTTCTTGTTTTTATTGGATTTTTTTGGAAGGGGTAACATGGCTAATATGGAAATATTTTTTGCATGATTTTACATGTATAATTGATATCATATTGCTTGCCTACTCAATGGGGTGGGGGAAGGGAGAGAATTTAAAACTCAATTTTTTAAAATAATGAATTTTTTTAAAAAAATTCACAGAAGGTGATGCGTTGTTATGAGGGATGATATTAGAGTGGGGAGGGGGATGGATACAGGGGGAAATGTAGGCGATGTAAAAACAAAGGACACCAATAAAAATCTGTTTTTAAAAAATTCACAGAAGGGAACAGAAGGAAGCTCAGAGGGAAACACGGACAAGCAGGACAGCTTTGAAAATAACATGTTTGATTTATTATATACTTGTTAAAATAACAAATTGTACATAATAGATATTCCCAATGTTCTGTTTTGTATATGAAATCTCTCTCTCTCTCTCTCTCTCTCTCTCTCTTTCTCTCTCTCTCTCTCTCTCTCTCTCTCCCTCTCTCTCTCTCTCTCTCTCCCATCCTCTGAATTCATAACTCTGGGAAAAAAGAAAGTCAATTAGTTTGAAATACAAGGAATGCTTTGGGGGTAATGAGGGCCTAGTTGAAATTATTATATAGCATCAGTTTGTCATGGACTCCATCAGGGAGGTTGAATGGCTCTCCCAGCACTGTTCATTGTTCTGTGGGTAGGAGCAGATTGTCAGGGTAATCTGGGGTTGGAGTTTGCTAAATTATGAGCAGGTAAGAATTTTAAGTATTGAAGACAGTGAAAATTTGTGCTGGTTAACTATAGGGTCAAGTTTGGGAAAGGAGGAAAGCGAAATCAGAGTATTATTGAGGACCTGGGAAAACCCTGAGGAGTTCAGGGAATGGAGGTCAGGTCAGAACAATGAACAGGTTGAACAAAAGAGTGAGGAATAGGGAGACGTCAGATGATAGGAACTTATAGAAGAATGATAGAGGAATTTCAACATTCTGGATCATGCAAGTGGAACAGTTATGGGTCATTGTGAATGACCCTGTATGAGTGGCAATGGAGGCAGAATGAAGATATAAGTCATAGGAGTTGAGGAGGTCAATTAAGTAGGAAGCCAGAGTGTTTGAAAGAGCATCAATGAGTATGTTGAGGTCGCCTAGTATAGTGGGAGGGGTTGGCACGGAGGTGTACTAATTTCCTTGAGAAAAAACAAACAAATAAAAAGTAAACAAAATCTTATTGACAAATTTATTTCCCCAATGTTTAGTGTTTTCCCTGCCAAATATACTATGTATATATGGTTTATCCCCCCAGGGCTTGTTTCATCTTTATCTTTGTATCCCCAGCAAAAGCATAGTGCTTTGCACATAGTAGGTACTTTATAAATGCTTGTGGAATTGAATGGGAGTAAATCCTTTGTCCCCTTTTTCCTACCACCATTCATGACCTGCCGATCATCAACGCTGGTTCCCTCCCACTGCCCACTTTCACTGCACCCATTATGGTGTTGCTGAATGGGATGGGTGGTAGTGGTGGTGGTAGGTGAATCACACAAAGTTAGCAGACAATCCATCACAGCTTCATTAAAGGCAAATGAAATTCGTATTAGTCGGCTGGGTAGTACAGCCTATAGAGAGCACTGGACTTGGAGTCAGAAAGACCTGAGTCCTGAATTCGCTTGTTGCCCCAGGCTTCCTAGCATAGGACCTGAGCAAGTCACACACACAGCTTGTGCCTCAGTTTCGTCTGTGAAATAAGGGGGATGAACTCAATGACCTCTAAGTTCCCTTCCAGCTCTAAATCTATGATCCGATCATCATGTTACTTAATCTCCAACAAATTCCTTATTAATACACAGCAATCTTTTTTATTTTTCTCTGATTATCCCTCCAGCTTATCTCCCACATTGGTGTTTCTAAACATATTCCTCAAGAACTTAATATCACTTTCATACCCTATCCTACTAAATAGGTGAACTAACCTCCTACTTTACTGAAAGAAAAAGCAAGGTCATCAGTTATGAACCCTTCACTTCTATTCCACACCTCCAGACCTGTGTGCATCTTCACCCATCTTTTCAGTATTTACCTCATTCTTTGAGGAAGAAATATAAAGTCTCTTTGTCAAAGACAGCCTCATCATGCGTGTCTTTAATCCCATCACCAACAATTCAGTTCAATATAATATAGGGAAAGTGAGTTGCCCTTGTAGGTTATGTGTGTCTATATGAGTCAGACTACATTTTTTTTGTCAATGTTTTTTTTTTTTATTTTTAACAAGTGTTTTTAAACTTTGGGTTACAAATTTTGTCCCTTCCTCCCTCCCCACCCACCCTCATTGAAAAGGCAAGCATCTCTATATAGGTTATAGATGTGTAGTCATGCAAAACACTTCCATGGTAGTCCTGTTGTGAAAAACTAAGTATATTTCCCTTCATCCTATCCTACCCCCATTTATTCTATTCTCTCTTTTGACTCTGTCCCTCCTCAGAATTGTTTGCTTTTGATTATCCCCTCCCTCAATATGCCCTCCCCTCTATCAACCCCCCATTCTCTTGTCCCCTTCCCCCCTTATTTTCCTGTAGAGTAAGATAGATTTCCATACCCCATTGTGTAAGTTATTCCCTCCTTAAGCCTAATCCTATGAGAATAAGATTCACTCCTTCCCTCTCACCTTTCCCCATTTCCCCTCCACCGTAAAAACCTTTTCTTGTCTATTTCATGTGAGATATTTTACCTCATTCCACTTCTCCCTTTCTCCTTCTCCCAGTATAATCTTCTCCCACCCCTTAATTTTATTTTCCAGATATCCCTTCATCTTCAATGCACCCTGTGTCCTCTATCTATCTATACAAACATATAATTTTTTCCCTCCCACTACCCTAATACTGACAAAGGACTCATGAGTTACAAATATCATCTTTCCCTGCAGGAATGTAAACAATTCAACCTTAATAAGTCTCTTATGATTTCTCTTTCTTGTTTACCTCTTCCATGTTTTACTTGAGTCTTGTATTTGAAGGTCAAATTTTCTATTCAGCTCTGGTCTTTTCCATAGGAATGCTTGAAAGTCCTCTATTTCATTGAATGACCATTTTTTTTACCCTGAAGGATTATACTCACTTTTTCTGGGTAAGTGATTCTAGGTTGTAGTCCTAATTCCTTTGCCCTCCAGAAAATCATACTCCATGCCCTCTGGACCCTTAATTTAGAAGCTGCTAAATCTTGTTTTATCCTGATTGTATTTCCACAATACTTGAATTGTTTCTTTCTGGCTGCTTGCAATATCTTCTCCTTGACCTGGGAATTCTGGAATTTGGCTACAACATTCCTAGGAGTTTTCCTTTGGGGATGTCTTTCAGGAGGTGATCTGTGGATTCTTTCAATTTCTATTTTGCCCTCTGGTTCTAAAATATCAGGGCAGTATTCCTTGATAATTTCTTGAAAGATGATGTCTAGGCTCTTTTTTTTGATCCTGGCTTTCAGATAGTCCAATAATTTTTAAGTTCTCTCTCCTGGATCTATTTTCCAGGTCAGTTGTTTTTCCAATGAGATATTTCACATTCTCTTCTATTTTTTCATTCTTTTGGATTAGTATTACAGTGCCTTGATTTCTCATATGGTTACTAGCTTCCAATTGCTCCATTCTAATTTTTAAGGAAGTATTTTCTTCAGTAAGCCTTTGGACTTCCTTTCCATTTGGCTGAGTTTACTTTTAAGGGCATTGTTCTCCTCATTGGCTTTTTGGACCTCTTTTGCCATTTAGCTTAGGCTATTTTTTAAGGTGTTAATTTCTTCAGTATTTTTTTGGGTCTCCTTTAGCATCACTCCCAGTTTTTCCTCTACTTCTCTTACTTGCTTCTCAAAATCCTTTTTGATCTCTTCCATGGCCTGGGACCAATTCATATTTTTCTTGGAGGCTTTGGATGTAGGAGCTTTGGCTTTGTTGTCTTCTCCTGGTTGTATGTTTTGATCTTCTTTGTCATCAGAGTAAGATAATATAGTCTGACTCTTTTTGTGTTGCTTGCTCATGATCCTGGTCAATGACTTGAGTTATGAACTCTTTGTTAAGGTAGGAATCTGTTTCCAGTGTGGAGAATGTACTGTCCCAAGCTTCACAGGTTTTGTGCAGCTGTGTTCAGAATTATTTCTAGGGACCTTTAAATTTTCAGTTCTTCCAAGGTGGTACGATCAAGGGAGAGGTGTTTACTCTTTTCCTGGCCTGTGTTCTGGTCTAGGAGCACTATTTTCTGTCTTGGAACTGTGAGGAGAGTTTCCTCTCTACAGCCACTACAAGCTCCACCAGACCAGTGCTCCTCCTCGCCCTAGGTCCACCATCCAGAACTGTGACCCAAGATCCAAGAACGGGCAAAGCAAGAGAATTCTGCATCAGCAGTGAGATCCCTGCAATCCCCCTCTGATCAGCCACTCTATTCCCCCTCTGTCTGTGGGCCGGGAGCTCAGGAGGCAGTCGCTGCCCCGAGGGCATGCTCCAGACTTGCAGCTGAGACCTAGCTTCTTCTCTCACTGCAGTCACAGACTTTTCCCACTGACCTTCTAAGTTGTCTTTGGCATTCCTGGGTTGAGAAGTCTGGAAACCTCCACAGTTGCCTAGGATTCAGTCCTCTGAGGCCTGCTCCAGGGTCACTGTAGCCTGCACGCCCACACCAAACTGTGCTCCTCTCCCAGCTCAGTGCGATATACCTTTCCAATCAACCATTCAGGGTGTCTTGGACTGAAAATTTGTTTCACTTTGTCTTTTTGTGGGTTCTGCTGCTTTAGAATTTGTTCAGAGCCATTTTTTATAGGTATTTGGAGAGGTTTTCCAGACTATATTTTAGAGTATCTTCCACCCACCTTTTTTTTTTTTTTGGCCAGGCAATTGTGGTTAAGTGACTTGTCCAGGGTCACACAGTTAGTAATTGTCAATGTCAAGTGTCTGATCTGAGGCTGGATTTGAACTCAGGTCCTCCTGACTCCAGGGCCAGTGCTCTATCCACTGCATCACCTAGCTACCCCTATCCACCTTTCTTTAAGGGAAAATGTGCTTCTTAGGGATGGGGGTCAGCCAGAATGGCCCAAGCCCCATCCACAGACTGTCCCAGAAGATATGGTAGCCAACTCTAGCCAGGAAAGATGCAGCAGTCACTTGTCCCTCCCCCCCCAGATCCTTGAATGTTCCATCTACTCTGTACGTGTCTTGTATGCTTCTGGTTATTTACATGTCTTCCCCATTAAAATGTGAGCTTTTTTGTTTCTGTTTTTGTTTGTTTGTTTTATACCTTTCTTCGTATCCTCAGTATTTAGCACAGGACCTGGCGCCTAGTAGTAAGTGCTCAATAAATACTGTTGACTGACTGACTGGGGCCTTCCTCCCCATACAATCACTTTATCAATAACACTATTAATGTCGCCCTCCCTCCCTAGGGAAAATATCAGGGAGAATTAAAGGCAATGCATATCTATCACTATAAATCAGATCCATCACCACTTTACCCTACATTTCACCAAGTATGAACATTTCTTTCTCCTGAAAGACTGTAAGTTCCTCAAGGGCAGGGACTAATCTTTATCTAGACCTTATGTCTCTATCTCTACATTCTGATCTCTTCTCTTGCACATGGTATGTGCTTTAAAAATGTTCCTAGTTAAAATAAAAGTCTGATCATTTTAAAAAATAATTAAAATATTCCTTTAAAAAAATCTAACAAGGTCATAACTAGGTAATTAATCAATCAATCACCAAGCATTTGATTCATCCAGAGCAGAGGTCGTCAAGTGCCTTAGCTGCATCTGAGACAGAATGTCCAGTAAAGCCAGGGTTTGGTAGAAGGAGGGAGCCAGAAAATGCTAACGCCAAGAGAGCAAACAGAATTAGAAGCCAAGATCCGGCCAGCTCAAAACAAAATGAGCAGAATGGCCAAAATGCAGATGGAAGCAGGCGACAGGAGATCTGGGAGAAAAGCCAGTGGTCAAGAAACCAGTCGGTCAGGAACACGCCCAATCTTCATCAATCACAGAGAAGACAGGTTGTCACGTGACATGCATTCCCTCCCCAAGCCTTCCTTTGGGTGTTAATCTGGCCCTTGGATACTACTCCCCATTCTTTTCATCTTAAAGGAGCTTCCCTACCCTTAGCTAAGAGCTGATCCAAGGTGTCAAGGATGGGCCATTGATCTAGGAAATGGAAGGACCAACCTCTCAGGACATCTAGTCCAAATCCCTCGATTCTTCTTTTAGATGTTGTTTTGATTTTCTCGATTTTGGTATTATACCTGTGGCTGCACTCTCACCCTGAACCTACCCTGGGGACTGGTGCCATCTTACCCAGGAACAAAGAACCTTCATATCAGCCCCTTTCTCCTATTGACGAGTTCCTCCCAAGGCCTCCATTTAGGGGAAGGGCTCAAGCCAGCCAACCTCCATTCCTCTCTGAGCTGAGCTTCTGACTTTCTGTACTTCAGCACCCCAGGGGTACCATCATTTCTTCTCCTCCCCACT